TTTACTGTTTCTGCTGAGTTTTCCAGTTTATGAAGGAGCAGAGACACAGAGTTAAGAACTGATGCAAGGGAGGTAGAAGTGGGGAGTGGGAGATAGGTAGGAAGGGGGGGGTTGGCAGGCCAATGTATGTGGGAGGGGGGAGGGAGCACTAGACCTGATAGTGATTATACATCTCATTTGAAAAGCGATTTAACCATGGGGAAAAATAATTAAGTGTTCTTAAATTGACTGTGGTAATGATTGTGCAACTCTTCTTGAGATGATTAAACTACTGAATTGTGCGATATGTGGATTAAGCTCCAATACATCTGTGAAAAGAAATACCGAAAAGATGAAGGTCGTTAAATATTGGGGGTGGGGGTCTCTCCTAAAAGTAAACCCACATGGGATTTCCAGGGAGTCATAAAATGAGACTGTGAGAACCCAAGTGCCCTCATAGGCTAGGAGGGTCTAGCGAGTTCACCCAAACACTTGAATACAAGAATGGGAAGGATCCAGGAATACAGACCACGGTCCTGTGGATGTGAACGTGTTAACAAGGGCTTCTACTGTAATGACCAACTTCCTCCCTCTCTCCTCCCTTTGCCTTGAACAGGTCCTCTGGCTCTCTTTTCCTTTGGGATGACGAACAGCTCCTTCTCCTGCACGGTCTACAGCAGGCTGGAACCCTTCACGTATTTCTACTATTTGGTCTTCCTGGTTGGAATTATGGGGAGTTGTTTTGCAGCCTGGGTGTTCAAACAGAAGAATACCAACCACCAATGTAGAAGCATATACCTAACCAATCTACTGACGGCCGATTTCCTGCTCACTCTGGCGCTGCCAGTGAAAATCGTGGTTGACTTGGGCGTGGCACCATGGAAGGTGAGGATATTCCACTGCCAGGTAACGGCCTGCCTCATCTATATTAATATGTACCTATCAATCATCTTCTTAGCTTTCGTCAGCATTGACCGCTACCTTCAACTGATCCACAGCTGCAGGATTTACCGAATACAAGAGCCCGGATTTGCTAAGATGATATCCACTGTGGTGTGGCTAATGGTGCTTCTTATCATGGTGCCAAACATGATGATTCCCATCCGGGTCACCGATGAAAAGCTGAATGTGGGCTGCATGGACTTCAAGACAGAGTTCGGGAAAAACTGGCATGTGCTGACAAACTTCCTCTGCATTGCAATCTTTTTAAATTTCTCAGCCATCATTTTAATATCCAACTGCCTGGTCATCCGCCAACTCCACCGAAACAAAGATAATGCCAATTACCCAAACGTGAAGAGCGCGCTCCTCAACATACTCTTAGTGACGGTGGGCTACCTCGTATGTTTCCTTCCTTACCACCTGGTCCGAATCCCATACACCCTCAGCCAGACCCAAGTCATAGCTGACTGCTGGACCAAGAACTCCCTCTTCAAAGCCAAGGAAGCCACCCTGCTCTTGGCGGTGTCAAACCTGTGTTTCGATCCCATCCTGTACTACCACCTCTCAAAGGCATTCCGCTTAAAGGTCACTGAGACATTTGCCTCGAATAAGACCAGGGCGCAGCAAGAGATGCCACGGTGCGAAGGCGATGCCTAGGATGTGCACTGCTGCCTGTTATCATGCTGGGCAACAGGTTTGAAACGAAGAACAGAGAAGCAGTGAGGTGTTGAGAAATCTCAGGAAGTAAAAACACAGACGTGCTAGTGAACACGACGTGGTTTATCGGGAAACCCTGCTTCCAAATGCAAAAGCAGCCTGTACGCTAGTGGCTGCTGATGCTTCTCACCCAACACTTTGTACTCAAGTCTAAAGGGTCTTGTTGAGCTGATGAAGAAACAAGACAACACGGCTACAGCCTTGAAAGACAAATGCAGCCAGTCGTGTACAGACTCACATACTTCAGGTTTTCTTGAACTTTTCATTTAAATGTCTGGAACTGAGTTTTGGACAAAAATAGGTCAAAGACTCTCTCAAGTGTGCCAGAAAGCCCTTCAGCCGGCAAGAGAACACTGAAAGCATCTGAATCACTTTCGCTGAAAGAAAAGGGAAATTGGCTGACTTCCACATCTGTTAGCCCGGGCCTCATCTTACCCCAGCACGCCTGCAGCAGTAACCTGCGGGCTCACTATTCTAACGCTGAACACCTCTTCTTTTCTTTAACTTTTATTTATGGAAGACTGGGAGGTGTGGCTGGTTTTTACCATACCGTATGTGCTCATATTTGCTCTGTACGTTCCAAATAAAGGCTTTCCGCGAGTTGTTGTGGGCAGTTGCTGTGGCGTGGTTCTACGAGGAGGGAAAAGAACTGGCGCCGTTGGGTTTGCAAGGCTGCGGCCTTTCAGAAGCAGACGGTCAGCCTCCTTCCCAGGTCCCCCAGTGGGACTCCAAGCACCAACCTTTGGGGTGCTTCACCATTGGTGGTGACAAACCCGGGGACCGCCTACTTTACAGTATGATGAAACGAGTCGGGTCACGTGACTAGGAGCTTTGAGAAATCACACGGACTATCGAAGCTGTCACGGAAACTCACCAAGGGCAGGAAAGCACAGTGCCCGCCCCTCGGAGGTCTTGAAATAAGACACACTGACTCCGTTCAAACCAGGCCAGGTCAGAAAGGTACACGTGACTGGTCAGGTAGTGCTGCTCGGATCCAGGAAAGGTAAGCCTGACACACAGGCGTGGCCAAGCAGCCTCCCGTCTAGAAAGACTCCAGCCCTTAGGATCAGACCCTTGGACGACGGACACTCCACCCCCAGGGAGGTGAAAGGGGTCTCAGGTTGACGCTGTTGCAGATGAGTCACCCCAGCAGAGGGATCCCACGCACAAGGGGAATCAGGTACTTGTTAGGTTTTCAGTGACTGGCTTTCAGGTGTCAATCACCGGGCCTTTCTTCCTAGCCTGTCTTGGGTTTGGAAGGCACCTGGAACCTGTTCAGCAGCACAGTAACACCTGGGCCTCCATTCCCAGACAGGTGCACCGGCCCAGCACTGAACCGGGATCTTCTAAGCGAAAGGTGAAAATTCTACGACTGAAACACCACTGCGCGGGAGGCGGCAGTAACCGCAGTCCCTGCCAGGTCCTCAATCCCGACTCCCAGAAACCTTACAAACAGCAGAGAACCGCTGGTCGGGTTTCTGAGGCTGTAAAATCAGAAACAAACTGCCTCAGCTTTCTCCCCGGGAGTAACTGGTGGGTTGGATCCGCTGACCTTCCAGTTAGCAACAATGTTCCCCATACAGCTACAGTAACTAGAAGGCACGTAAGGAAGACTGGGAAAGCTTCAAGTCAGCATACACGAGTCTTCCTATCTCTTTGCTTGTTGACTTTCAATCTCCTGAGTACCTAAGGCGCATATTCGAAGACTGGGTAACATAAAGATCAGTGGCCTTATTTAAGGAATAGGTGTGTTCCTGGGTTAAGCATATGCATTGAATTCTAGATTCATTTCCATCTCAGCATTGAGTAGACGGTTTTCTTTAGCTTATCAAAAGAAAACGCCCACCTTTAGTTTCACACATATATTCTGAGACCAAGGAGGAGAAAAATGACAAAATTCACAAAGCACCCATTACTAAACTTACCATACGAGCGCTGAACAAATTCTAGCTAGCCAGCAACAATGGTACATCCCTCCTCCATCAGCAATGAAAAGTAACGGGACATACCTGCCACAGAGTCTAAATACAAATGCCTCATCACCTAAGGAGGACAGAACACGCCTACCCTAGACCCTTTACTTGTTGGCACTCTAAGAAACATGTGTACTACTAGGCAGCCCAAGTTATTGCTCACATGATAGTATGAACAACACAAATTAATTTTTCTGACTCCTTTGGTGAGTCCTCTCTCCATCACCACACCTTTAGAGACAGGGGAAGAAAACAAAGGATTTTTTCCCCCCTGATCTGATTCTTCTCACATGCATGACAGGTGAGTCAAAATTCCCCCTTAGAATGAGCAGAGCCTCAACAGCACTCCTAATATCAAGGTTTCATACATATATACTTTTGCTCCCCTTCAAACGTTGACTTGTACAATGGCAATTACCCAGCAGTTCTTATTGGCTTATGTTCAACTTATGGCCTAAGTCATCACAAGGCCTGGCCATCAGAACACTTAAAAACTACGGATATAGTCAGCCAGTGGTAAACAGGTGAGAACTTTGGCAACTTGAAACAGTTTTGATACAACCTAAGATATACACGCGCGTGCATATGCACACACACACACACACACCTATACACAAAGGGGGTTCTTCATTGTACTAAGAAAGCACAGGTTAAGCAATTTTGAAATCATTGAGGGTTTTATGAAATACCAAAAAAGAGAGAAAATATCTAAGTTGCAGACCAGAAACATCCAGCAAGGACCATAATATCTCTCTCAAAATTACATTTTTGATACAGACAATTGGCACTCCATATCCAAAACCATGACCCACAGACACAGACTTAATATTAAATTAAAAGGAAAAAGTTTGTGATCCCAAGAATAAATACGTATTTTGTTTTTTGGCACATTTTACTACTAACATCAAAAACGAAATCTTGCTTGCTTTAGAAGAAAACACAACATGCTGTTATGACTCAAACACAAAATTTCCTGCCAAATGGTTTCCACGTGCCGACTCATAGATTATCCCAGCCCAACCCTAAAACATGACACGTTCAACCATTTCCGTGAGCGCATGCCCTATTTCTCCACTACAGACAGACCCTCTCCCTCCATCGTCTTTCTTTGAATGTGTGCTTGGCGCCAGGCAGCGAGCTAAGCAGAAAGGACCAGTGCATGTCAAATGGTCCAGCTGCCAGGCACTTGGGTTTTTACCCAATTGTTGCACTTACTTGATTGTTTGTCATTTTATATCTATTTGTCTCTCTTTAATCTTATCTTTACTCTCCCCTGAAATTCCTTACTCATACGTATTAGGGGGTGTGTCATAAACTTCATGGAAAAAATCCATTTTCCCATAAATTTTCTGAAAATACTCACCCTGTATGAAAAGCCAAGTACCTACCTCAAGGGAGTGAACATAAAAGCCATTCAATAAAGGTCTTCAAGCTGTAGTAAGAAAACTGTCACTTGGACATCATTTATACTGTCTCAAGTGCTCTTGAAAAAAGGACACTAATATAGGAAATTCCACTTAATCTAGCACAAGGCAATGAATATCATACCAAAAATGTTCTTTTCTAGTTCCATTGCAATGACACCAGTCCATCAGCTAAACACTCATGACCAGAGCCAAAGGTACAGCCAGTGCAAAAATTCACCTGTTATCGGATGGACATGACCAAGAGCTGAATGGTATCGGCTTCAACCATTAATGGTTCTATAATAAAATAATCAAGGTGGCAAGTAACCACAGCAATCACTTACCAGAGGTATAGGAAAATGGGTCGCATACTGCAGATGGCGAAGGAGGTCATAATTAGATGGGAAAATTAACTCCCTTGGCTTGTCCCGCTTCATCAATTTCTCACCGTTCACCGACAGTCTTCTTCCCAAGGTGGGGTTGACATTCTCACAGGCCTCTCCAGGGATGGGGGAGAAAATCTAAGTCATGTAAAACAAATGTTGAAGATTGTAAATGAAAGACGACGAAACCAAATTGCAGGGGTCCGTATCATTACTTCAAACACACGATGTTCATGCAATAATACCCTTTCCTTATGTAACTATTGAACAATGTGCACATAGACAATGTATATGTGTGTATATATACATATATACACAATGCATACATATAAATGATATATGTACAAGGGGGGTACACAAAAGAGGATTTTTTTTTTTCAAAGATACATATTTTTTCTTAGAAAACAACCTTCTTATCACCTTCAAAGTACTCCCACTACACTTATGACATCTGTCAAATCTGCGATTCCATTCTTGGAAAATTTTTTCAAACTCATCTCTTCGGACGGCTGACAGCCCCTCCCTCATACTCATTTTTGCTTTCACCTCTTCTACATTGTCAAATCTCTGTCCTTTTGTGTCCCTCTTCATTCACAGGAACAAAGAGAAGTCGCATAGAGCGAGGTCAAGCGAGTCAGGTACATGGGGCAAGAGAGGCATGCTGTTTTTGACAAAACCTGGCTAACTGAGATGGCTGCATGAGCAGGTGCATTGTGCTGGTGGCAAAACCAGGCCCATCTGCCAGGCCTTTATTGTCACACACTGTTACACTATATTTTCAGAACCTCTAAATAGGAGCTTGATCAACAGTCTGACCTGGTGGAATGAACTCCAAATGCACTGAGTTGACATTTTCATTTGTTTGGAAAGTTGATGGACATCCAGAATGAGGTTTGTCATCAGTCGACATTTCACCTCACAAAAAACGAGGTTCGGGTCAAACTGCTTTTACGAAAAAAAGTTCACCGTGACCAAAGAGAACCTTCCCAGGTGATGCCACTGGGTGTACTAACTCAGAGCAAGTTGCTGGATGCTCACCTAGTGGGAAAAGTGGGTACTATGCAAGCTCCACCCAACAGAGCTTTCTTCTGTTTGGGGGGGGGGTACCCCCTCTCTTTAAAAAAAATAATTTTTCACAAGTTCCATATTCAGATCAAAAGAAATCTATCAGCATCATCCCCGTTTTGAAGATGAAAAAAAAATAACAATACAGATAGCACATGTGCACAAGAATACTACCCTGAGAACCAGAGGTAAAAATCAGACTGAGGTTAGTGTTTTCCACACGTTGCTATACAGATGACAAAGCCATATACACAGGAATAACTCACTACTAAAACTCACCAATAGCAGACATAAAGGAATACCTAAGCCATATACAATGCATTAAACGGCTTTCTATCAAGCGAATTCTAACTCAGGGCAATCTCGTGTGGGTCAGAGTAGAACTGTTCTCCACAGAGCTTTCTAGAGCTAACCTTTTGAAAGCACACAGTCAGGCCCTTCTACCTGAGCACCCATCGAACCTCTACCTTTCAATGAGCAGTTCTACACATTTATCATTTGCATCATCCAAGGACTCTGGATCACATGCTAGATCCATGGATAGCAAGTTCAGAGCCAAGGAAGGCACCATTTAGAAGCTTAAGACATACAGAGTAATCAACCTAAACTGCCGTGAAGAAACCACAATCACATACAGCTGAGCGGTGAGGATCTCAAAATGCACAGAGCAGTCCCAGGCGATCAACCAGGAAGGCAGGAGTGGTATAATTAATGGAGGAATCAAGGCAGGCAAGGGTTAGGATGAATGAAAGTGAGACATTTGCACGAGCTGGCAAGTGTGCCTTGGGGAGTCATGAGCGGTCACATGTGTATCGCGAGTCATCGTGGTCCATGGAGCGAGGAACAAAGGGTGGAGACGGATGGAGAAAAGCTTAGTAACCAATAAGAATTCAAAGGTTGAACCTACTGGAAATTCCGAACCAAATTCGGTTTTAAAGTCATTCTTGTCTACTTCGTCAAAAATGTTAGTGGTTCCTGAATCAATGCCCATGTGCGCCATAATTCTCTGCTCCTGACAATTGCCAGAGAAAGAAAGTCACATTGTAAATTTTATAGTTCATCAAGAAGTGGAAGCTAAAACCTAGCAGTCTTGGTTTTGGGGTGTTTTTTTTTCCCTATTTTTCCCTGTCAGAAAAGGGAGAAATTTCTAAGACATGCATTTTGTCTAATCTCACGTCCTTTCCTCCTGAGGAGGAAATGTGAGCCTCTGATCTAGTTCAAGGCGTAGATGCAAATGAGAAGTAAGCTGGCCCTCAAGTCTGACTGTGTGCTACCGCCAGTCACTGGGTTGGTTAAGGTTTTGTGTCCCATTTGCTGGGCCAGGATTCTCAGTGTTTGGCAGTTAGCATGTAATGATCCACCACAAGGACATCTCATGGATGTGATCTGCTTCCAATATTAGTAGACAATGTGGGAACGTTGGCTTGCTTTTTAACGGGTGTGGATCCAGCATCTGGCTCATCTGATTCAATCTTTACAACTGGTCCTGAGAGTCTTCAGAGCCTAGCGTCTTACCTGCTGACCTTGAGTCTGTTCACTTCTCTAGCCAGAAGCCGGCTGGCTTGGCATTAGCTGCTCCTATAGCTATGTAAATCAGGAGAAAACAGACCGCCGGCAGACCTTTAGGAGCCTTTTCCTTGATAGAACCTTTCTGCGTTTGTGATAGCACTCGTTTCCCTCTCCTAGAGAACCCAGCCTGAGACGTTTGGTACCGAGAGCAGTTCTAGAGGGGAAAAAATTATAAGGATGTGTTTTCTAATTTGGTTTTTCGACCTCACTGGTGTCCAAGACACTGGCAGCTACGCCTCCCCAAGCAACGGGAATACGGTGAATCCATGGTGCGAAACATCACCACAAACAAAGAAACAAAACCAAGCATCAGCGCGAACGGAGGTGCTGCCTTATGACGTGCTGGATGGTCTTCAGCCAGTCTGATAGTGTGAGGGTACAGAAAGCTGGTTTGTTGGCAGTACTTTCAACGATGTGGTCGAGAAACATACGAGGGCAGTCAGAGTCACAGGTCAGGCACTACCGAAAATCCCACGAGTTTCCACTTAGGCCAGAAAGAACATCTCCTTTCTTGTAGTAACTGAACGGATGTGACAAAAAGCAAAGCCAGCGCCGTATCCGAAGAACAGCTGACTTAGAACAGCTGGATTGCACATCGTGAAGGTGAAAGAGGGTGCCGGGAGACACCCCTGGGGAAGGGTGGGGACAGAGTCCAACCTATCAATCAGATCTCAGCCTGATGATACCTCTTTGGGTGTGGCTTTTTGTATCAGAGGAAGCGATGGAGGAGAGCTGAATCCTCTTTGGCCATTAGGCTTCTGCCAGGGCTGGGTCTTGCTTCCGGTTCCTCCTTTTGCACTGGCTTCCAATGCCAGGAGTTGTCAGTAGACTACAGACAGTGGATTCATTCGGCCAACTTCAGATTCATATTCCCTCTGTTTCCACCAGCCTGTGCACCCCCCCCCCCACTGCCTCTGGTTCATCATCCTGCTTCCTGTTCATCAACTGAAGCCTGACTCGGGCTGGGCTGAACAGTTTCACAACGATGGAAGCCATTTCTAGATATAAATCTCTTTCCATATACAACTCATACAAATCAAAGGTCACTGGTTCTTTTCTGCAGGGAAGCCAACCTAACACAATACGCAAATGTCATCCTGTGTGAAACTGAGGGCACTTGCGGGCCAACAGGGAGGAGCAACTTCCTAGTGGGGGAAAAAGAAAGCTTAACAACACTTACCGTAGATGCTCGAGTATAAGCTGAGTTTTCCAGCACATTTTTAATGCAGTTTTGGTGGTAAAATAAGCAACTGTATTAAAGGGCCGTGGCATTGGGAAGGTTGAGAACCACTGATCTAGAAGTTTGTGTGGGTTTTTCATCAAAGCATGGGTTGTGAGCAAGGGGGGGGGGGTGTCAAGCGGGCCTACAAGAAACCAAGTTGAAGCAACAGACCTGCCTTCGTGCTCTGTAGGAGAAGATACCAAAGACTTGGAGCGATTGCCAAGTTACAGGGGGTTTGCCAAAGCAGATCCACACACCCACTCACAGAGCGCTCAGGGGCACGTCTTTATCACAACGGGATGGAACAAATTTGGGCAGGGCACCCCAGCATCCTTGTAGAACACTGTGAGCAATCTTTGATGCCAGTCAAATGTGACAGAGGGAGCTGCCCTCAAACTGAATGATTAAACCTAACTGCAATACAGCTGATGGAGCCCCACGGCGGCAGGGACCAAGAGGCAGCACAGCATCAACTGATACAGGGTGCCATGGTTACTGTGGTGGCTACCAGAGCCAGGGAATTCATCAGGAGGGTCTGACTTAGACAGACTTATGGTGTTGGCTACTTTGGCAGGGTGTTCTAGGAGTGAGATAGATGTGAGATCTACTAAATATTTACTTGATCTGTACAAGTAGAAATATTCAAGGTCGTGTGAACATCAGTCTAACTTAAACCACTGGAACACAGATGAGTAGCATCTCACTTCCCAGATATGAGCCAATTTATGAAGCTGTCTCTTAAAAGAAGGAAAGGCCGGGTTCCACGGATGAATGACTCCCGTTCGCTACCAAAATGCACACCATTTGTCTTTCTCCAGCCGTCCCTAAGGGATCTCTGACATTTTACAAGAGGGAATCTCCATTGGGGGAAGGAAAATAATCAGACCTTTCAGGGGATTAACAAACACTGGCTCTGAATTTACAATAATTCCTGGAGGCCCAAAACATCACTGAGGCCCACTAGTCAGAGTGAGGGCATATGAAGGTGACGTTATGAATCAAGACTTAGCACATGCCTGTCTCGCAGTGGGTTCTTGTGGTGACTGCCCCGGTTCCAGAAGGCATCATTGGAACAGCCATCCTTAGCAACTGGCAGATGCCCACACTGGATTCCTGACACATGGCATAAGGGTTATTATGGGAGGAAACTTGAAGTGGATGTTAATGGACCTGCCTCTGCCTTGGAAATAGTAAACCAAAACCAAGATGGCATTCCTGGAGGGACTGCAGGGATAATTGCTACCATCAGGCATGTGACCGGTGTCGGCTTGGTTAATTCCCACCGCATCTCCATGAAAATTCACTAGTTTGGTCTGTGCGATATCAGATGGGCCTTGGAGAATGACAGTGGATTATCGTAAACGTAGCCAGGAGAGGACTTTAATTGCAGCTGCCATGCCCGCTGTGGTTTCGAGCAAACAAAAGCATCTCTCGGTAGCTGGCATGTAGATGTTGAACAGGCTAATGGTTTTTGCGCCATTCCAGTTTCCAATGATCACCAGAAGCAGTTTACCTTCGTGTGGGAGCAAAGCCGCTTGCTCTTTAGGCAAATTGGACAGGACCACCACCTTCCACAGTTCAAGGCCAGTGGAAAACACTGATGGCTCAACTGCGGGAGCGGATGAAGCAGCGACTGGCCTGTCTCTCTGTCTGAGACAAAATGCACACTTTCCATCCCACTCCCTGGACTTGACCTCCTGCTCTCTGGCAAAAGCTGCAGAAGCAGCAGCCTGCAAACTTATCAGTGGGTTCGTGTTCCCAACCTTATTCTCCCCTCCTGTCTGTGAACAGCTTGGCAGATGTATCCGTGCTTCTTGGTGCACCCTAACCAACTGTCAGCTGTCCCTTTGTGCAAACCTGTCACCAGCTGCCGGCGATGTGGCAGCAAGGTATTTAAACCTGCCTCGAATAAAGTTCAGGGCCATGGAGGGCCTGTGCTTCAGGGTTCCCTGCGCCCCACCTGCATCTCTCCTTCTTCTCTATTCTACAAGTTTTCTCATTTCAGACCATGCCCCTCTTGAACCCCTTCGATTTGTAAGATAAGAGCTGGACTCGATATGATCTTACCCCTTCAGGTGTCAAGGCCAACAATACGCCTATACTGTCCTACCTGAGAAGGCTATCAACTCGCTAAGCGCATCATAGCTCAGTGCTTAGGGACCTGGCTTGCCTTTCCCTTCCACAAGACATCACACGGGTCCATTCCATTGATTACTTTATGCTGATTAGACCTAGTAAGGAAGCAGTATCAATGGCTCTTGGTCTATTGGTCAAACATCTTCATGAGAGAGGATGGGTAATTAACTGACAAAAATTTAGGCACCTTCTGTTATCACTGGAATTACTGAGGGTCCAGTGATACACAGCATGTCGAGAGAAACCTACTAAAGAGAAGCTAACTTACTGCCTATGACCCCTTGCACATGACCCCTTTCTGGCTGAAAAGGTGGCGCCATACCTGGTTGGACTCTGGATTTTGAAGATAAACTATTCTTCGTTAGGGTGTGCTGCTTTGACCTCTCTATCAAGTGCCTCTAACAACTGCTGGCTTTGAGTGGGACCCAGAGACAGGGGTCTGCACCAGTGTTGGGCTGCCAGGAAGGTTGTCTGCCCCATGGGTCATGTGATCCAATGATGCCTACCACGTCCGTGGAAGACAGAGAAGCAGTTCAGGAGTCTTTGGCCGGCCCCTACTGGTGAATCCCACTGAAGGCTCTTATGATTTTAGTCAAGTCCTGCCATCCTCTCCAGGCACTTAGTCTCCTTTTGAGAAACAGCTTTGGCTTGCTACTGGGCATTAGTTGAGACTGAACACCTGACCACAGGCCACCAAGCCACAGGCCTCCTGCACTGCCTATCATGAACTGGGTGTTGTCTGGCCCAGGGAGGCATAAAGTTGCACAACCACAGCGGTTCTCCACCATCACATGGAAGTGGTATATAGGAGCCCAGGTTCCAGTGGGATCAGAAGGAACAAGTAAATTGCATGAGGAAGTGGTAACCCAATTCTGTCATGACTGCTAAAGGCCCATACGTATCCTTCAGGACTGAAGGCTGTGGTCACCCTGCCAAGCAAAGAACTACAACCAAGTGAAGTTCTGGCTGTGGGCAAAGGGAACAAGAGATGCGAGGTAGAAGAAGGTGGTTCTAAATGTCCCTATAACTGACTGCAGATCGCTATAGCTGACGATCAGGTGCAGAAAGGGGAACTGCAATGGCTATGAATAGTTGTTCCTTATATGTGTAAATCAAATATTTTTATTGTGGTCACTTAGAAAATATAAAATGCAAATGAGACTTGCACATTTCAGATGTACGTCTAATAGCTGTATCATGGTAGGCACATGTATGACAATGATAACTGTCTTCATTTAGACTGTGCCTGGTTTAAGGAGATGCTTGCAGGTGCTAATTAGTAAGAAGCAGACTCTGATAGTTAACGTTCTGAATCCCCTTGGCTGGGCTAGAGTTCTCAATGTTTGTTGGTAGTTAGACACAGTAATCGCCTAATCATGGCATATCTTCATGAATGCAGCCTGCTTCCAGTATGAGTGGACGCTACAGATAAGCTTGCTTGCTTTTTGCTGGGTCTGGATCCTCTATCTGGCTCATAACCATCTGTTGGGCACTGGAGTCAGCAGCCTGTTGTATTCTTACTGATCCTGGGAGGAGTCATCATTAGTCTTCCATCAGTGACCTGGGATTCATTTATGTCTGCAGTCTGAAGTCCGCCATCTGACCTGCTGATCTTGTGAGTTGTCAGGAATCTGCTGTCTTCCTGATGACCTTGGGCTTGTCGGCTTCTGCAGTCAATAGCTTGGCATCTGACCTGCTGATGTGGGGTCCGTTAGACCAGTAGCTATTTGAGTCAGGAGGAGACCTTTGACTAATGGACTTGGAATTTAAATGCCTCTACAATTGTGTGATCCACTTTCTGGATAAAAACCACTCTGTATATGTACCTACATATGAGCTTCATTGGTTTTTCGCTTCTAGGGAAACCAATCTACACACAAATTTCTCTGAAATAGTTAATGGTTATGTCTAAGATATAAGATACCTTGATATCTAGGAGTTGAAAAGAAAAAGCTGAAAAAACAGGACAGATCAAACAGGTACAATAATTTAAATCCTTGCCCTTAAAGCTTCTATTGTAGATAAATTAATGGATAACCATTTATGCTTTCAATATAATCAGAAAAACCATCCTGGAGCATATGAACAACAAATCTTACTACTAAAATTATAAATGCATATAATTAGGGGGAAAAAACCTTTAACGTTTTTTCCTAATTATAGCCACTAAAGTATTTTCAAGATATCTTACCACTATACAATTAGTGCCTCAAAAAACAAATATAAGGCTGTCTCCTTACAGAAATGATCTCATGCTCATCATTTGTTATAATTTCTCATCACCAGCTTCACCTTTTTGTCTTGAAATTTTCAAGAGAAACTGGAACAATGGTCCAAAAAAATCAGACCTTAGCCAAAGTACAAGGTCACTCTTATACCCAAGTAATTTTTTTGTGTGGGGGGGAAAGGACGATTCCACAACACTTGAAAAGCAGAGATTACAACTGAATTCACTGAAATGACAATAATAGTTCACATTTCATGTAAAGAGTGATAGAAGTCATGTGACTTGGAATTGGAAGAAAGGCTCTGCTTGGCACTCCAGCCTGACTGGGGCTTTGGGGGGACAACAAGTCCCACTTTGAAGCGCAACATTCAAGGCAAAATGGACTCTAGAAACAGCCACAATCGGAACGTAGAATGCCAACCCAACGGCAAGTGTTATGGGCTGTCACATCTGCTCATGAAGCGCTGATAATCGCCGACACTACATGCTAGGTTGCGCTGAGAAATCTCAATGTCCCTTTGAGTACAGAGACGCGATAAACCATCTCTGTGACCAGAACAGAGCCCGGCCGCCCTGGCCCTCCGCCCCGAAATGATCCCTCTCAGCACTGAGCGTCTGGGGGCGCTGCGCCCGGCCGCGAGGCCTTACCTCCATTTTCACATCGGGATCCTTGGAAAAGTGCTCATCCGCATGCTCTGCTGGCGACCGAGGCCGCGTCGAAGCGGTGACCGACAGGTCCCCTCGAGATATGAGGGTACACATGTACGTGTCGTGGGAGAAGACATCGTGGCGGATGAACTCACAAAACAGCAGCACCAGGTTCACAAACTCCACCTTTTCACACTCACTGTTTGGATCCGCTGACAAGAAACAGATCCGGTAGAGCATTCAGTTCTGCTCAGAAGACATCATTTTTACCGTCAAGCGTTTCTGCTGTTAGAGAACACAGAACGCCCGGAGAGGGTGACCCCAGGGCTCTGTGCAGGCTTTGGTGCTGATGGCCCCGCGGTCACTGAGAAGCGGAATGGAGTGCACTCCCAGGACGGCTTCTTGCTTCATACCGTTTTTTGCCACACACCTCTCTTCCCCGCCCAGAATTCCCTGTCTTTTACAGTGCTCTTGACCAATGGCTACTGGCTCTTCTATACCTTCTATCTGGAGACCCTTCCTGCCGTATTTTTGTTACCATACCCAGCCTACTTAGCTCACAAAGACGGTCTAAATAGCAGCCACCCAGACTACGAATCCACTGAGGGGTTCGATGTTCCCTAGAGCCCCGACCCTCCACCCAAGACAGAACAAGACTTGGGAAGGCAGGAACGTTCGAGAACAGTGCTGACTGTGCTGTCGCGGTCATACAGTGGTTCAGCGCACTTCCCTCCGTGGTAGAAGCACAAGTTAGAAGTGAGAGATTTAAATGGCAGCACGACGGGAAGCCATTCAGAAGCACGGTGTCCATTGAAATTTGCAGGACTTGGCTTCTCTATTTTGGCCAGAAACATCTACAGCAGATACAGTGCTGCTGCTGTTCACGGCAGTTAAGCCAATGTTGACTCCTAAGTGTGTCCGGTGATACCACAGGTCCTGCCTCACATGGTTTCCTCGGCTGTAATTGGGACAGGGCAGAGCCCTGGTATTGTGATGGTTTAGGGTTGGGCTGCTAACCACGAGACTAGTAGTTTGAAAGCCCCAGACACCCTTCAGGGTAAAGGTGACGGTTCTACATCCGGAAAGAGGTCGAGTGTGTGAAACCCCCCGGGAAAGTCTACCCTGCCCTATGGGGTTGCCGTGAGTCAGAATCAGCCAGGGAGCCGTGAGTCATCTTTACAGAACAGACAGACAGACAGCTCGCTCTCCTGCAGAGTGCCTGGGACGGTGTCTAAGGTCCACTTCCTGTTTGGCAGCCCAGCACATAACTTTTGCTCTGCTAGGCCTTAACAACAAAATAATATGACTTCCCTCATGATATAATGGGGTGAGCCAACTAGTAGTTTCTGAAATTTTTGAAATCACAGAAACTGAATTTGTAATGGTCTTTAAATTTAAAATCGGCCTGAAAACATGCTAGAACATTCTGCTAAGTTCACAAACAATACATTCACCACCTAGAAATCTCTATACGATGAAAAGTTTTAAAAAGATAAGCCGTTCCCAGAGACCGTCCCTCCCGTCGTGAAGAGGACGAAGCCAAGAGGTGTACTTACACAACGAGGGGGCCTGTGTGTCTAAAAACCTTAGGAGGACATTCTGGAAAACTGGCAAACTAGATCCAGCAAACGAAGCTGAAGAAATGGAGTCCTTCTCGTCTAAGACCTCCGATTCGCCGCATCTCTGGAGATAAAATGAGCAAGCACCGTTAACGACAGATAGAAGCAAGCAGTCATAACAGGTCACGGATCGGATCGGGTCCGGTTTGTTTTCGTTAATTGGCACTCAAGTTCTCAGATAAAATGTGTACTGTCAGTTGCGATTTCTGTACTTCTCTGAGGGCCAGGCGTCATAGGTGAAGACAATGTGCTAAAAGTGGGGATGGGAGCCAATCAAACGGTCTCAAACACCCCAGAAAAAAAACTCTTGTTGGGGGGGAATATAAACTTTGCAAAGCACTGCATGAATCCTCAAGGAATGCCTAACACAGGACAGTCAGCTCTTGTGCTGCTTCCGTGCCAAGCTGCTGGCCGGCGTGTGAGGCTGCGTTCATTTCTAAATAGCACCTGGTGCACTTTATGCCCCTTGATGAATGTTTGGGCACCTAGTACTGAATGTCCTCCTCGGCTGCGTGCGGTTCCCACTCCAGGTGTGATTGAGGAAGTGCTGGTCAAGAGAGAACCCAACAGTTTCTGCAAGGAGACGATTTGACTGATTCATTGAACATCACCCATGCAACCTTGGAGAACCTCCGGGAATCTCCCTAATGTGCACGAAAGACATCTCTAGAAGCCATATAACTTCTATATTCGTCAAAGTAGAACTCACTGTTATGCACGCCAAAAAGTGATTTTACAACAATTAGAACGGCGTTGTCTGTTCTTTTATGATACCCCTTTGATCTTTACCACTAGCATGATCTATTCTGGAATATTAAGATAGTAATTCATAAGTGTGGATATTATTTAAGGAATTAGATCTCCAAATTATCCTTGCCTTTTGAAGGTCAAACTTTCAGGATATAATCAAACTTTTCAACAGGAATCCACTATCTTAAACATTTCCGAAAGAACACAACTTTTGATGGGCACATTTGTACCGAATTAAAATTGCATTTATACCTTATTGATGTATATGTGAACCGTGTGTGTGTGTGTGTGTGTCAGGCTCCCTTGTCAACTGTGGAGCCTAAGAAGAAATCAGGTTGAGAAAAGAAATCGGCATTCCAGAGAGAGCCACGAAATCTGAGAGAAGCAGCTTCAGTGACGTACGTGTCTCCCTTGGCGAGTTCAAGGGTTTGTTCTGAAGAAGAAAAGACAATGTCCTGCACATCGCCCAGTGGCTCACGTGGATGTGTCACGCCTGACTGTGATCCTGTGATCATTTCTGTTTCTCTCAAGGAAAAGAGAGATGTCTGTGAAACTACTAGTTCATTTTGTTACAGCTCCGCAGAAAGTAAGTGAACAGTCAGTGACACAGACAGCCGGCCGAGTGTGTCTGCTCCTGCCACAGCATTTCATGTGAGTTGCCATCAGGTTAGGGAGCGGTGATGTGCGACCCGGCGGGCTGGGGCGTGGCTGCGGCTGTGAGCGTTAGATGAAGAGACACAGGGGGGAGGAGGAGCACGCTGGGGTCAGAAAGGCACAAAGGAGGCGACACAGCGATGGAAATGGCAGAGAGAAGCTGCAAACGAGCTCCAAGCCCACGGAAACACTCCCGTTGTAAGTTCCCTGAAGCCGATGTCTGCTCTCTACCTTGGGATGTGTGTGTGTGAACATCACAAAGGAGAGTCTTTTGGTTTAAGGCAGATGTTATAGTTTTTGAATGACACGTTTTGTTTCTGATCTTTTTATTGTAAACTGGGCGAAGGTTTACAATGCAAATCATCAGGCTGATGTTCAACGATTTATACACACTGTTTCATCTCATGCACTGTACCCCCTCAATCATCATCCACACCATCTCCTCCCTGGGGTCCTGTTTCCATCCTTCCTTCTGTCCTTAGGATTCTGGACTTTGTTCTTGAGTCAACACTGCCCCCTGGATCCCAAATGGTTGTGTATTCCAGGCTAGACAGACCTCCCAAGTGTCACTGTTTTCATAGACCCGTCTCTTGTTTGACTGGAAATGAGCCCTGAACGGCAGCTCAGCCACGGGACCAACGGCATGGTCTGTCTGTCCCTGTCCAACCACAAACCCCAACCTTCAAGTTTAATATCTTTTCACAATATTATTATGATTTTAATAACTAAGAAGAGTCCTTGTACACAAGACTCCTTTTCTAAATTTAGACTAGCCACAGGATAAACAACACTGTCACGCCAAAAACCAAGATAATGACCCAGAGAAAATGGTCAAAATCACAGATTGAAGAGGCAGTGAAAATCATAATTACAGGCTTTTGAAGAAATTAAAGAAAACTATCTATCAAATTTGCTTTGCAGCCAAAAATGTTATCTCTAGATAAATTCATAGACCTAAAACATTTTATTGCTTAAAAATAAAATAGAAAAATACAGGAGTGAAACTTTCAACTGTAAAATATTTGGGAGAAAGAAGAACCTCTTGAAATAATTTCTTTAATCTCAAAATTATGCATATAAGAAATTAATAATAACAGTAAAAAGGAATTCAATGAATGAGAAAGCAGGAAAACCCTAGATTTGATTAACCTAAGACTAGTTTATAAACAATGAATGCATAAAGGTAGCGAGTGCCTAGATTACAAACATCTGAACTACACACTACCCATAGTTATTCACCACTCCCACAGCATCTGTTTGATTTAAAATATGAAGTACATGCAACGGTCTATAACAAAAATGGTGCTACACATTGTCATTATTTCAAAGATGTTTTTGTTTTTCTTTAATGATGTTTATGCATAGAAAAACACATTATATAATAAGACAAAAGTTTAATTTTAAAAGACATAATTTTTAGATCAGTCCGGAATAACAAGTAATGAATGGCTGCATCATTAGAGGGGTCCTCCTAATGGGAGTCCTTATATGAAGGTGTAAGCTTTTCCTCCACGTCCTCAATCAAAAACAAAAATCAGTATAAGGATGAGGGCGGTGAAAAGGCTGGTCGCAGTACTTTTGAATTAAGACACAGAACAACATAAGAAACAAAAGCCGAAGCGTACCTCTGCCTCGATTTCTGCTTGCCTCTTCTCCAAGAGTTTTGCCACAGCCATGGCCCTGTGCTTGCCTGAGCGCTTACAGCTCACGGCCCATTCGCACAGCAAGGTCACCACTGCCTCATCGTTGGGCGCCACCTAGTCACGGAGAAGTGAACAGAGTTAGGCAGAAGGAGACGTTCCCCAGGGGTTAGGAGTAGGCGTGGAGGTTTCCACAGCTGCCCCAGCGGCAGAGTGCTGACACGGCGGGCTGCTAACCGCAAGGTCAGTAGTCCGGAACCATTCGCCAGCCACGACTTTCTACTCCCATAACGAGTTACCCTCTGGGAAACCCAGAGGGGCAGCTCTGCCTGTCCTGGGGTTGCTGTGAGTCAGCGGTGACTTGACAGCCGTGGGTTTGGCTTTTCAGTCACTTGTTTCATGACAGTAATTTCAGAAAATACTTCAAGTATTTTTACCTGCAGTACAAAGGGCTGAAACTCAGGTATACGCATAGAGCTTACTTTACCAGAATAGCTGACGCTGTGACAATTCATCCCAAGAGAAGCCCGGTCTACTTATGAGGGGCTTTGCCACGCACATCCGTTCTCCTCCAGCCACGTCCAGCCCCCAGAACTCACTTTGAAAACCAACCGAGGAGGGAAGAAGACCCCTGGCCAGCTGTCCCAAAGCTCACGCACTTCCCACCCTTCGGCCCTCGCTCCAGTCACACTCAGCTCAGACGGCCACGAAGCCTGTCCGTCAAAGGCCTGAGCCCTACAAGAAGTCAGAAGGACCTGCAGGAGAGGCTAGAAAGCTCATTAATAATATATCTTTTTAAAATTAGAAACAACATACGTGAAAAAAGTGGCAGCCAAGGATCAAAAAACAAGGAGGAGGAGCAGGCCGAGTCCACAAAGGGCAGTGGCCTACAAAGCTCAGCATAAAGATCAGCCATGGCCTAAAAGTGGATAGGCTGGACAAAGGATGAGCCAGCGGGACAAACGTGACAAGAATTCAAGTGGCGGTGGGGGACAAGGTCAGGGGGAGGATCATCCTTCTGTACAAGCAATCCGGCCTTTCCTCTTGCACGATCTACAACATCGACTGCAAAGCTGTAGGATTTGCCTGTTTTTATGCCTCAAAATGAGATCACCAGGGTATCTGCACTTAGAAACTGCATGAAAAATGATCGCTGTAGGAGAGTTTACGTGTTCAGTTCAGATTATGAGAGTTATCAGCACACGTGCAGGAAGCACACATCGCACACAGACTAACGGTTCGGTCTGTGGACTCCGAGAAGGCACCTGGAATCCCGGACTAGCTGTACATACCACAGCCAGCTGCAGCATGAGAAGCAGCATAGCATGAGATCTTCTCTCATCCCATCCTGAACGTGGCTATCTGAATGTGTGTCAAGGATCCCTAGAGGAGACATCACAGAAACAGCTCTGGGACTTAATTTAAAATGGGTGTGGGGTGGGTAGGGGAGAGGGCACTCACTATGTAAACATTAAACACAAAAATAAATACATCAACTGAGAAGGTTCTGATGGAAGCCACAGAGAAGTAAAAACAAAAACAAAAAGCGCAGAGTGCTTGCTCAGTTTTCGCATCTCTAGATGAAAACCGCTACGAGCAGCAGTTGATTTCATCAATGGAGAACCTACATCACAGCCCCCAGGCAAAAAAACGTTCTTTTAAAATTTTCCTCCTGGGAGTGGGGAGCCAACAAACCCAGGGCAAGGGAACGATAAAAGATCTAAAACCAATGGCAAGGAGGGTGTAGAATGCCTGGTGGGGGCTGATCAAGTGCAATGTAGCCGAGAGGGATTACTGAGAATGGAATAAGGCTGAACAAGAGAGTGGGATAAGAAGAAAGTAAAAAGAAATAGAGAAAAGACCTAGGAGGCAAAAGACATGTATCGAGGTAGAAATATAGGCATGTATATATGTAAATATAGTAACATGCAATGATAGGGATATAGGCCTATGTACGTATATTTATATGTAACGTATTAAGGTGGCAGACAGACATTGGGTCTCTACTCAAGTACTTCCTCAACATAAGAACACTTTGTTCTAGTAACCTGGCATCCTGTGATGCTCACTTTCCCAACACAATTGCTGAAGTCAAAATGGGCGCGCACGGCAATATGGTGAAGAAAGCTGATGGTGCCCACTATTAAAAGATACAGTGCCTGGGCTCTTAATGGCTTGAAGTTAAACAAGCAATTGTCTAGCAGAGAAGCAACAAGCCCACATGGAAGAAGCACACCAGCCTGTGTGATCATGAGGTTATCAATGGAATCAGATATCAGGCATCAAAAGACCCAAAACAAATATACTGATGCAAATGATGGGGGTCTAAGAGGAGACCCAAAGTCCATCTGTAGACAATTGGACATCCCCTCTGAGAAGGGTCATAAGGAACCAGTCAGTCAGGGTGCAGCATTGTACTAACAAAACGCACAACATTCCTCTAGTTCTTTAATGCTTCATAGCCCCTTCCACCCACTATCATGACCCCAGTTCTATCTTACAAATCTTGCTAGACCAGAGCATGTACACTGGTACAGATAAGAGTTCTCGACACACAGAACCAAGGACAGATAAACCCCTCAGACACAGTAGTGGGAAACGCAATACCATGAGAGTAGGGAGGTGGGGAGAAGGGGATAGAAACGGGAAACTATCTACAATGATCAACGTATAACCCACCCCTCAGGGGGATGAGCAACAGAAATGTGGGCGAAGGGAGACAGTGGATTGTATAAAATATGAAAATAATAATAATTTATCAAGGGTTCAGGAGGAGGGGAGGGTGGGGCAGGGAGGGAAAAAGAGGAGCTGATGCCAAGGGCCCATGAAGAAAGAAAATATTTCGGAAATGTTGATGGCAACCTCTGTACCAATGTGACTGATACAAGGGATGTATTGATTGTTATAAAAGCTATAAGAGCCCCCAGTAAAAAGATAAAAATAAAAAACTTTAATAATACAAAAAAGGCTGTCACTATTTTGAAGAATACAATTTTTAAAACTATTTTTGATAAATGGAAATGAAAGTAAATCACAGGAAAATGCACCTAAATAGTGAAATTCAAATGTGGTCCTGCAGCCTTGGAGCTAATGTTGTATGTGCCCCCGTACATCACTGTTGCATGCCAGACACTGCAGCAGCTCTCTGCACACAGGTGATTCCAAGAGCATCCCAACGATGAGGAGAAACAAGCTGAATCCCCGCGCACGGTCCAGAGCGTTCCTGAGTAAAGCTTCTCGGGCAGCTCTGGAGCATCCCACCCGGTGCCCCACAAACGCCTCAAACATCTGGCAGTTCGAGCCCATCCTCCCACTCAGATCCTCTTCTCGACCTGTGTGTTTTCCGTAGAACACATCAGCATCACTAATGAGGCCACAAGGAGCCCAGTGGCACAAGGGGTTCTGCACTGAGTAAGGTCAGCAGTTCAAACCCACCAGACACTCCGAAGGAGAAGGATGAGGCTGTCTGCTCCCACAAAGGTTCAAAGTTTCAGAAAGCCCAAGGGCCAGTTCTACCCTGCGCTACAGGGTCACGATGAGTCTGACTGACTGGACAGCTGCAGATTTGGGTTTATTTAGGCCGGGATGTTGGTGGTCATCCCCCTCAACGACTACACCCAGCTACATGTCAGGCCCAGCGGAGCTGCTAGAACACATGCCTGCGCCCGTCTCTCTCACAGACACACAGACACAGAGACACACACACACACACACACACACTTGTTGCTGCTGCTTCTCGCTGGTCATGCTCTGGTCTACTGCACAGACTCGCCCACTTCCTCTGCACGCAGGCTCCAGGACCCATAGTGGATGTGCACGCACTGTTTTAGACTAAAAATCAACAACCACAATACCTATTTCCACAACATTCAGGGCACGGCACCATTGGTGCTGATTTGAAATATGTTACGCTGGGGCTAGAAATTTTTATAAAAACGCCAAATGCTTAGGAAAAGGTTAGCGGTCAATTGAAAGACATGATCCCGGAGAAGGAAGAAGTTTGTGGGGAGGGAAGGAGGTTTGACAGAGTTAAGTAACTCCAGGAGTTCCTATCGGTTGGGAAGGAAGATGCCTCTTTCTGTCGTTAATCCTAGACGAGGCCGTGTTGCGAATTGAAGGGAATGGTTTGCTAAAGAAAATGGCTGAGTTTTTAGCAAAAAGAAAATAAAAGGGGGTGGGTGGGGAAACTAGCAGTCCCTGGGTTGCGAGTCTCTGGTCCTGACTAGGCGTTTACGGTAATGAAAACTTGCCAGCACGTTGAACGTCCCCACCTGTTGCACGTGTCTTTTGATTGGTTAAAACAGCGGTTCTCGACCTGGGGGTTGCGACCCACCCCTTTGGGGGATCCAACGACAGGGGTCACCCGATGTTCATGTCGGAGATGTTCACGTCTACACATTCATTATATCCATAGAAGGTTATATATTTCAAGATCACTTTTCAACCAATAACTATTTCCCAGTTCTGGCCAGATCCCAATAATGCAGCCAATTCCTTTCTGAATATGCAATGACCTCTCCTTGGGATATATCGGAAGGGGATATTCCTTAAGATTTGGGAGAGTGTGGAGAGGGGGAAATGGGTAGATTCTGACCAAAGACACATGATCTCTGGGCTTACCTTAAAAAGGCTTTAAAACATCTACATTAGTTTCTCAGTGATACTGGAATGCTAAGTCAAAAGGACACTCACTTGAAGCAAGCTATCTCTGCAACAGGAAGAGTTACATAGTGATCATTAAGTGTTTTATTTGTCCTTTTTCACTGAAGCCGTAAGTTACTTGCGGTTCAAGAAGCCTTCCACCTTGCGCTCCCCATGGTTTACCCCGGATGGTTGGTTTCTACGTTAGATGTATTTACCAAGAGGTCTTTTCTAGACTCCCTGGACTATCAAAATAAGAAAGAGAGACGATGTCAGGGGTCCATTTGGAAAAAGAATGTCTGGAAACTGACTGTGGTAGCGATCGTACAGTTGTACTTGACGCAACCGAAATTCAAAATGATATGTGTGTTCAATCCCAACTAATTAAAAAAATAAGATACCCTGTTCACCTCTGAGAGCCAATCACTTCTACAGTGTGTTTCCGTTGGGCATATCTAAGACGCCCGGAGTCTCCC